ACTCTGAGGTTTTGGGTTTAAAGGTTGATCTTACTAACACATTTTTCAAAGATCTACCTGGTTTCTCTGTAACCCTGATGTTTTGGGTTTAAAGGTTGATCTTACTAACACATTTTTCAAAGATCTACCTGGTTTCTCTGTAACTCTGATGACAAGACCTAATTGTATTCATGCTTGTCTAATGCGAGCTGACTTTTTAGGACTAATATATGGTACAGCGAAATTCGTGTGAAATTGTTTTGTTTTACATGTGGTAATGTTTTTGCATTGTTACTGTGGACTCTGTTTTCATAGTTTCATAAAGTCTTATCAATAAATGTTTTAGGATATCCAATAACGTTTAATTTATGTACAAGATCTTGTATAGCTTTGGATTTACCTTCATTAGTTGTACAAGTCTTATTAATACGGTTTAGTTGTCCAATAATAGTCTCACGTTTAACGTGTAGTGAGTGATGTGAGTGGTAATGTAAAAACACCGGTTCCTCACAAGACTTGTGATACAGTTCCTTTATAAGCTTGCCATCTTTCAGGATAACCTGAACTTCAAGGAACCAGAAAATGTCTGATTCTTTGGAGTGCCTAATAGTAAATTTTATAGTAGGGTGGAAGCTACTGAGGAAATCATAGAAAAGTAGTAAATTTCTTAACCAGTTATTCCCATACGTTTGATCTATTATGTGTTTCCTTATGTCAATATTGTTAGGCTTAACTTTCTAACAAATATATGTAAATAACTGAAAATGTTGCGGCTACACGATTACCTATAAACTCGCATCATTTAAACTTTTGTTAGACTATTTAACATATAAAGTATGTACAGAATTTTGTAACTTAAATTGAAATAACTTTAGTAGTTTCGTAATCTGATAAGTTGTCTGTAAGTGTATAAAGTGTATCAAAATATTCTTCCTTATATAGCTGTAACAACTACTCCTCTTCAAAAAATTACAATATTTGATTTGTTTATGTAGCATTTTATGCACAAGTGTCACAGGCTTTTCTAATAAAAATATATTATTAGCGTTCTTGTATAACTGATTCACAAATATCCGTTAGAGATTTCTTTACATAACTTGTTAGTCATTAATTCATATATAAAAGAAAAACAAATAGGCTAAACGTACAAAACCATCTAATACTATAGGTATTACAACTTACAATTGGTCGCTTGTGCGTTTTTACACAAGGTATCACTTCGAAACGCATAATTTGTAAGGTATTCATACTTTTTAACACGTTATAATTTATCAATGTGTATAACAATAACTTTTAAGGACTAGAGTCAAATGGTCTAGTTTAATCAACAGCACCTCTGCCAACTCTTGGGCTGTTCTTGTCTACCTGAATAGTGGGATTTGACTGTCACTCTTATAGCGCGCCCACGTCCCCAAAATGCGGAGTGTGTTTTCGTGGCAATAGGACACGAAACAAATAATCGAATTCACATTTCTGGGCTTGCTAACCACTAGGCCATGCCCGGCTCCTTTCAGACCGGTCATTCAGCCTGTTATTAATTAATCTAGTAAACAGCTCCTCCGTTACATTAAGTAAGTAAATGCCTCGGTAATTATTAACCTTATGTATATTACCTTTCTTGAATAAAGAACAAATGACGAATTTATCGTAATTATCCAAAAAATCACCATACTCTAACATATATTGATACTTTTCTACAATGGATTTTACCTAATGTAATATTTAATCCGGACGCTTTATTATCTAAAAAAAAGTTTAATACAATTAACACTTTCTTCTATCATTATATATTTCTTTTCTTGAAATTATTAATTCTGTTTACTTTTTATTTTAACAAAAGTCAAACTTGGCATATTTGTTACCTTTATTATTAAAATTTAACCTTTAAAGTAGTTTAATTTACTCACTATAAATATTTTTCTTATTACCGCACACATTTTAATACTCTTCCAAAAATTATTTGGATACCACAGTTTCTTGACATCATCCTTCATAAAATTATTATTATCTAATTAAAATATAAATGTTTTATTAATTTAAGATTTAACAGATCACTTTTAAGTTATATTTTCATAAATATTTTAATGATACATACATTTATGCGCTATTATTGTTATATTCTATTATTTCATAATTTATGTTTCGCGTATTTTGATTTATGTTATTTTCTGCACAGAAGGATGTATTATTGCGTATGTCAGTTGGTTTATTAAAGTTGTAATTTTATAGAAACCAAGCAAGAACTAGCAAATAACTGAAGAATCAGAAATTTCATAAACGTGTTAATCACACATTGCTCCGTCTCTTCTCTTGCAAAATGATACCAAAATTCACCTAAGTTATTTTTCACTTATATTCTATATACTGAAGAGCAGGTGTTACATTAACTTCCGTTACGTGACAACCAGCTTGAGTAAATACAAGCAACAAAAACACGAAAGAGAAAGCAAGCCATCGATATTTTTTATTGAAAATAATTAGGCTCGGTGCTAATAATTCTCGCCTCTTACTTTCGCTTGATTACAGTTTCTTTGGTAACAATAATGCCCCAGGGAAAGGCGTGAGTGTTTGCGAGGAATAAAAGGTTGGTCTATAATTAGAAAATATATATTTAACGGTTGTTTTTCGTTATGATACATTTGTCTTCTATCATAAAAAATATAAACCTTTACTCTTAAGCGAAACCCTTTAGGGCTTTATACTGTGGACAAAATATGAATCTCATAATCTTATGCACTTCGTGTGGTCATGCCACCACCAGTTACCAGGGGCTACGACCAGAAGACGGAAGCGATGAAGCAATATTGTGCTATTATTCGAACTCTATATAAACATCATGTTCTATAGATTTTACAACACAAAACTCTACAACGTCGAACCAAGTAGTTACATGCAGTTTATTCGCCCTTTCAAAATGCCTAAATATATGGTAAGTAAAACTATTAACGCACAGTTTGTTTTATCTGACATTTTGAGAATGCTAATTGGTTAGCTATGTTTGAAATCTCTCAATTTAATGCCATGCAGAAGTCAGTATATCTTAAATGTAATTCATGTTAAATCTGGGAACTTCGGAGTAGTATAAAAAAGTAAATCCAATAAATTAAACAAGAAACTTAACTTTACACTAATTTTATACTTGAATAGCGAGAAACAAGCAAATATACACACAATACCATCAGTTCACTGTTCAACATGTATCCATGCATTTATATTTTCTTTTCAGACTTTACCCTAAGCTTCTTTGTAGAAAGGAAGTCCACTTGGATATTATTGATATGCACCAGTATTTTATTTTATTTTTACAGATAATACAAATGACAAATATCTAACGTTTTAATAGGTATAAGCAGACAGTAATACGAAGCAAGTTATAAAAGTGTAAGTATTTCATAACACATGATCAGGTTTTTTACAAGGTGATGTTAAAAAATCAAAAAGTAATATAGGCACTGGAAGGAATGATCAGATATAACTTGTTCTTTTTATATTTCTTTTTTAGTTGGTTGTATTTGCCATGATGGCTCTTCTTGTGGTAGCTATGGCTGGTTATGAAGGACCAGAGGATGGAGTTTACGGAAGTCGAGGCTATAACGATGTTGATGTTATAATTCACCCTATCTATGGCTATGGCTATGGTCATGATGGCTATGGGCAAGGTGGATACGCTAAAAGTATTAGATACGACCGACGTTACTATGGTCATGGATATGGTGGTTATGGTCATCAAGCTTATGGTGGTTATGCCCAACCGGTTTACAGTGGTTACGGTCATCAACCTTATGGTGGTTATGCCCATCCGGTTTACGGTGGTTACGGTGGCTATGCCCATCCTGGCTACAGTGGTTATGTCCAACCTGGTTACAGTGATTATGCTCATCCAGGATATGGTGGTTATGCCCAGCAAGGATACGCTGGTTATGGACCTTACGGAGGATATGGAGGGCATGGACCTCAAGCAGGATATTGACTTTACTAGTAGCAAAGCGCTAGGTATCATTATATATATATATATTGTAAATAAATTATATACTTATTCTGAAAAATATAATAATTTGACTTTATCTCTTACACTTACGGTGTCATTTGTTCCGCACAAAGAAATGTCTGCAAAACTGTTTACAAGTATGGGTTTTTTTTGGCTGAAGTATGTATAATAAACGCTCTTATTCTAGTACAACGTTATTCGTTTGCTAAATCAGAACATACATATACATTGCTACGTATTAGCATTTCGAATGGTCTGAAACCGAGCTAAATGATACTTAAAATTTAATAGTTAAATTGTACTTTAGTTAAGTAAAAGCCGATATATAGTCAGTTTATGATATTTTCCAACAAGATTGATACACACAGTTTTCTTTTTTTTAAGATAAATACGTTTTAATATACACACAAGAATATAATTTACAATAACAATTATTACAACTAGTTATTACAAACAATGAATTATAAACAAAAGTTTCACAAACTTACAGGCAATATAAAGTCTTATTTCTGGTCTGGAATTTCTTCGATATCTTATTGAGGGTTCATGAGGAGCGAGTTAATTACGAGTTGATGTAGGTATAATTCACTTAACATGGAGCTAGCTAGCTTTGTCCTTCGTTATTCACCAGCCACACACGCCGAGATATCCACCTTTGAAGTTAGGTAATGTTTTCGTAAAAGTACTAATGTGCGATGAGAATCCACTGAAGTTAAATTATTTGTAATGTTCGAACTTTGTAAATGCTCCTGGTCAAATATCTGAAGTTTTCCGATTAATAAGTGTTATAATAATCACAGCTATCGCTTCCGAACTTTATAGCACACTGACTGTAGCAAACTAATAATAGATACTCTTTTTTTCTGGGGGCGTCGCGTTGGTTATATTTATAGGTGTGTGGAAGTTTTCTAGAAATTTCAGTTTTACGTAACAATACTGACGCTAACACACGCGTTTATGTACACACATATATTGTTGATTCTTACTCTCGAGAATATTCTACAACTTTGGAGAATAGGCGTGAGTTTCGCAATACATATTTAACAGTATACGTTATGTGTGTTTCTAAATATAAATTTCAACTAAACAAACGTCGATATTAAAATAAATATATAATAACAAATTCATCACACCATGTTGGTTAATAGTACACATTTATATACATAATAGTTCGCCATACTAGTTTAGTTTGGGATACTTCATATACATTAAGGAAGAGTTCTTCCCAGAAACAGCAACAACAATTCATTTTACTTATAATTAAGTAGTCGCCACTGTAATTACAATAAATATACAAGTAAACAAAACAGAGAGAGAGATAAGTCATCGCATAAACTCAATCTTAAATTTGTATTTGGATCCTTAAATCTTATGGAACGCCTATTTTAGAAACATTGTGGATTGGTACACTTTCATTTGTTTTTACCAAGTTCATAGATAAGTTCAAATGTACAGAAATTTTATCTCGAAGTTAAAGTCATATTCAGATAGACTATTTCATATAAATGGGCTTGTTAAAGTCATAAAATAAACAGTTATACTGTTTTACATGAACACCTTAATAATGTAGTTACTTTCTTTACTGTTTAAATCCGAGTTTAAAACAGCCTCCCCCCCAAAGAAATAAGTGGCGACTTTTATGTTAACAAATGTATTATGACTTCCTCTTTTATTTTTTAATCACCTGAAATTTGGCATTTTCTGACATTAATAAACAATTCTGAAAAAGTATTTCTTTTGGAACCATCTTTTTTCTCTAACTTACAAGAAGATTTTATTAGAAAATATGGAAAACAATCTGCCCCCCCCCCCAAAGGATTAATCAAGGATGGATGTTATATGTTATGGAATAAGTAAAAATAATTTAATATAAAAATGAAGGAGAATATATAAAAACGAAAAATAGATTTTGTTGTGTTAAACCCTTAGAATAGAAATGTAATTTCATACACTTTGTAAGGCTTGAGAGGTTTAAGGATGTTATCAGACCTTGCTTTTAGATACCAGTTTTACATATGTTCTTAGAGTATAAAGACTGACGATAAGACGTTAGAAAACCAGTAAATGGTGAGTGTTGATACCTATAACTTTGTGCAAGGGTAATATCAGCAAAACGTGTATCGGGTCAACTCAGTATGTGCAAAAAGCAAGCTCAGAGTATGTCAATCGAATAATATATGTTCTTATCCAGCCACTTATGTAGCATTGTGCTCTACGAGGATTTTAAACTAATCAATAGCGCATTATTCTGTTAAGCTAAGACTGACCATTAGTGCAGTAACCTGTTAAATAAATACTAATAAATATTGTTCCATCAAGTTAAATAAACATTAATAAATCGTGCGGAGATCTGTGAAGACAGACTCGTGTTAGTGTGATATCCTATTAAATAAAGCCTAATCAGTAGCACAGTATCAGGTATTAATATTCTGCAAGAATTAATCAATAGTACAGTATACATTTAAGTAAAGACTTACCTGTTGTGCAGCATGCTGTTAAACAAAACTAATTAATATCATCAGTAGCATACTATCCTGTTTAATAAAAGTAATCAATTGCAATATCCTGTTAAACAAACACTAGTCAGTTTTGCAATATGCCCTTTAAATAAAGAGAGCAATTAATAGTGAAGCATGCAGTTAAACAACACTTAATTAGTAGTTATGTACGTTGTTGAGCAACATTTAATTAGCAATTATGCACGTTGTTGAGCAACATTTAATTAGTAGTTTGCACATTGTTGAGCAACATTTAATCAGTATGAAGCACGCTGTTAAACAACATTTAATCATTAGTGAAGCAGCATACTAAACAAAGACCAGTTTGGAGTGCAGTATTCTGTGAGATTATAGGTTGCTGAGCACCAGGTTGTAGTTTGAGACAAACAAAGTTAGTTTTATCATTGTTATATTGTAAAACTCATAAATTTCGTTGACTGTTTATTCAAAAGCATAGAAAATGATGTCTCGTCGGAATTTCTGACAAATCACAAACATAATTTATATGAAATCTAAATTCTATGTCAAAGTACCAAAAGTAATGTTATTCGAGATATTTTGATTTTCAGTAGATGAGGATAGTGAACTAGACTTTCCTGTACTATCGGTTACGATCTGTGTTTTAGTGGAAAGCTGTAAAGAAAAACGTTGAGTGTCTAATTAAATAATAACAACAATATGGTGTTATATGGTCGTTTTTTTCTAGTATTAATTAAAATGTCTTCTATACACCAGTGTGTACTACAGAAATTAAATAGTTGTAAAGAATCACCTAGCGAGAGGGAAGCCAGTGACGATAAGAAACAAGAGGTCATCCCACCAGCATACCATGAACTTCGGAAAAGAAGACCCTCTAAAAGACTTAGCGAATGAACAGTTTAATTTAGTACTTTATTTTTAGATTACGGTTGTTTAAAGGGTTTCACAATCCAGGAAGGTGGCAGTTTAGTCGACATATATATATAAGAGCGAATGCCTCTCTGTAGGTCTGTTTCTTATGCACGCCCACATCTTTAAAGCTACAAACTCCAAACTCGGGATACAGATACAAATTTGTACGGGAATTAATATGGGCTTTGTCGCCGTGGCCTCAGAGGCCGTTTTGATTTCGCAACTTGAGGCCAAAGTGACCAATATAGCAATTTTTGGCAAACAGAACGACAAATTGGTCTCAACTTCAAAAAGCCGAATTTTTTGGTAATGTGAGATCAAGAGGGATATTATTCAAGTTTCTTTTCTGCGTGAAAACTTCTCCTAATCATTCTATCCATGATTAATTATATGTTAAAACGATTTAAAAACTTCTTGGAGCTTTCATTTGCTTCTCTGCTCATTCTCTCTTTGTCCCCCCCCCCTCCTCTCTCTGCTCTTCCTCTCGCTTTCTTCTACACATACATGACTACTTTCTCATTGCTCTTAATTGAAAAAGGCTGGTGCTTTCTCTCGAACATGCGCGCACACTCTCTCAACTAAATAGGTTTGCTTAAGCTCTATCTTTTGCTTTGTTTGCGTGTACTCGCAAGAATCAGCTAATACGATGACTTTACAAAACTGTTTGCTATCGGCAAATTTTCATTTATGTTGTGTTGTAACGAGAAGAGAATAAATCAATTCTTCATTAAATGGAACGATAATAAAGTCAGAATACGCTGCAAACGACACTTGACCACACTGCGGAAATCATGACGCCAAAAGATAGAGAATTCTGTTTTGGCAACTTGAGATGTCATGCAAAGCACATCCAAGAAGTAGGAGCAATGTACCCGGTTTGGCTTTAATTAAAATAGCTTTGGCAAATTTAATTTTTTTACACATTGTTATTTTTATTGATTGTAATCAAAATATTTAGTTAGGTAAAGAAGTAATTTTCACTTTTTTTGCCAAAAATCACGATTAATATGGTTGATTCTATCAAAACAACTCGCGAAATTTAAAGCTATTTTCATCCGAGCAACGCCGTGTACTCTGCTATTTACTTATAAATACGAGTAAGCAGTTAGTCAGTGAAGAATGTATTGAGAAGCTATTGAATAATGATTGAGAATTGGGTGAAGTATCCAGTGTGTGAAAGGTCGGCTAATTGGTGATCGAGACAATACTGATCGAGTAAAGTTAATGAGGTTTATCATCAATCGAATAAATGTCTGCTAAACGGTATTAGTTTGTTAGGCCTACAGTGCTCTCAGAAAAGTTAGTTTCTGAACTTAGTATCACAAATGCTTCAAAGTGAATGTAGTCTGTAGCAAAAGTTATTGAAAAAAAATTAATTCATTATCGTTACATAGATAGGACTTGGCATTATTTTTACTCGATAATGCAAATGTATCCGCCCAGCGATAGATCACATTACAACACTACAAATAAATAAATACAAATATAAACTATAAGAATTACTAAAAGCCAAATTGTAATCTGAAAAAGGAAAATAAATAGATGGCAGAAAATTGTATATAAATTTTATTTTATTAAAGTAAGGGATTTACA